GTGCTTAGGCTCCTGTTTTCCGCAGTTTTTAGTATTACTCACACTTCTCACTCACTTTGTCTCCTTTGGGCATCTCTTCTGCACCGTCTGGAACTGCAAGGCTTTCATCAAGTCGTCATGCGACTGCTGAGGTGCACGGCGCACACTGAGCATCACGTTTTGACCACGTGGTATGGCTCTGAACAAACTGGATCGAGCATTGAGTACCCAATCCGTAGGCGGAATTAGAAAGAGAAGGTCGGCAAGCACAACCGTAGCTTGGATGCGCGCACAGGCGTTTGGTCTGTTTAGGTCATTCTCTAGGCAGAGAAGTAACGGCCCGGTCTACTAATTATTTCGCAAATCTCGTGTTTTTGCGCATACTGGGTTTCCAGACGGCGTTAGCCTGTGCTTTGGGGGCCATAGGCGAAACTTCTTGTTGGGAGCCTGTCTTCTCCAACATGTCTGTCGCAAACGTATCATGCTTCATAATAACCCCCGGACAAGAGTGGTATGCAAGCCAAGGTGAAGTCTCCTGGATGCTGCAGGCGGAGGACTCCGAGCACTGGCCTTGTGGCGTCAGGACGATCCCTACAGAGTACCGTGAGCCAGTGCATTAGCCTCACGGTAAACATGTCCACACAACATGTGGAGATGAACAACTAGCACCTGCCCTGACCAATAATCCAGCATGCGTAGCGCCGATCTTTCCAAAATGGTTCATGGCATTTTGGTGCGCGCGTTGTTGCCTTCACTCGAGTAGTCTCTAACGGCGGCCGTTGAAGAACGTGATCCGGAGCTGAGTTCAACAGACCTCGCTGCGGGCCAGATTCTACTTATGTCTTCGAATACTGTTGACCTATTGGCTAGATAAAACAGCGACGACATGCGACCAGGCACCGATGCCGGATACCAACGTGCCGCTCACCGGGCGATGACGCCGCCCTGTCGAGGGTGGCCTCAACACGCACCACTGCTTGGCTCAGCCTCCAAGAATCCTTCTCTACACGCGGGTCTGACTATGTTCCTTTTTCCCTTGACCGACGTGCTTTGTTTCTCCCAGTCTCCATACCCACGAAGCTCACACGCCAAAACCACAGTAAGTTTGTGTTCAGGTCGAGCATCCATGCTTGCCAGTCTAACTACCTCCTTCGTTAATAGCTCACTCAGGGTTTAGCTCCTCACTCTCCAGTATAATTGCAGGCTAATTCAATGAACGATTGAAGAAAACCCACCCGTCGAAAGCGCCAATACCGAGCCCGCTTCAGTCTATCCGACCGCCCCTCTGCCTACCCAGAGGAACTTGTGGCTCTTGACATACGAACAAGCGAGCTTTCCACCAATCGTACAGGAATGAACCAGCATTTCCTCTGGGGTTACCCGCTCGCCTTCTCGCACTGTCGCTACCGCTGAAGCGATCCCGCAAACACCCAACTGTTTTGTGAAGGCATGAGGAGATTCATCTGGACGCATTCATCACATACTACGTACAGAGATGCGCACAACCGATCTCTTGTTTAAGATATATGTGAGCCATAATACTCGAGTGCTGTAAGAAGACTGACGCAGCCTTCCACCGCCGTCGCTATGGGCTTTCCAGAACCAGGCCCACGAGGTCACAGCAAGAGGGACGCACGAAGACACAATATACACACACTGACATATGTTGCAACATTGGATAGCCTTGTGGCTTTAAATGTGGCTTACTCACAAAAGAAATGTCTAGGGCCATCTTTCTCCAACCGTGGAAAGCCCTCGACGCTAGGTGCATCACACTCCCGACTGCAAGCGTACCAATTGCAGCCGCATACCACCCTCCCATTCGTCTTACCCACGTCAAGCTTTGCAGCTTCCGTCTGTCGACCCTGCTTTCACTACAACCTGCGGGGAATGCTTAGTTCAACCGCACACCAGTTGGATGCCAAGTCGCGCGGATGCTCACTGCGACACTGAGATGAGAGCGAGCATACAGGCGAGTGGAAACTCAGGTGGTGCTGTGTTGTAACTGAATGAGAAATGTTCTGGATCATCCTTGTAGATAGCAGGAACGGGTGTGGGGTGCAAGGCCCAGCATGGTCGCGGCTGCTCGCTGCCCATTCTGGTTCCACAGCCAGCATGCGCATTATAGGCTTGGACACATTCCACAGCTCCTACTGCCTGGCAACTTCTTACTTGCGAAGGGATATATCAGAAATGTTTATAGTAAACTGTCATACTGAAGTGCTTGGACTGCGATAATGCTCCAAACATCACTGGATGTTGAATCTTTGGTGAACGTCTTGCACGCGGTCTATACTTGCCTAGGTAGATAGCGTGTATGAGAGATTCCCAACTATACCATAGCCAAGCTCTCTAATGAGTATTTTCGCAAGATTTAATCGCCTTGGATAATATAGCCGGCGTCTTTAAATCTATCGGCGAGATCGCAGCATGCGGCGAGTGGCCAGACTGCGCACCCTATGCAGTAATCCGCTCACCATCGCGTTCCCTGTTAGCAGCTGTCAATCTTGGACAATTGAAGCACATATGAAGTATAATAGATCAATCCAGCAAGGTCGGAATAGCGATAGTTTCATCGTGTCGCGCGGATCTTGCCCGCCTCGCCGACGTCCCTCATCCTTGGCGTACAGTGCCAGTGCGTTCTGATCTCCCAACGGTTCGACTCTGACCCGTCCGAGCTCTTACTTCCCCTAGAAACCCATTACCAACTGCTGCTCTTTATTTGCGATGTCTTTTCAGCATCATTTTTGCACTAAACACTCCTTCTCAGCACGCTTGTTCATCCACGGGGCCACATACCTACATTCTGCAGTGTCTGCGATGGCTGTGAATGCCTCCGGGTCCATTCTCATCGCGTTAAAGCAACAGAAAAAACGGATACCATGGTAGGCAGCAGCGTCTTCATGGCAGAGGCTCTATGCGCTCCCAAGGTCTTGTCCAAAGGGGCTTCCGAGTCTTTGGGCGGGCGATTGTCCCTTCTTGTAGCTACCACCTCCTTCCCCATTTCCCTGCTCTGCTACTCAACAAAAGCTAACAGATCCTTTAGACACACGGCCAGAGCCTCCGAAACCACCATCCTCACGCAGACTAGCAGCACTTGCTCCACCGAACGTTAAGCGACCCTCTCCACAACGCGAAAGCACCTGCTTCTTCCGGTACGGCCTGAAATCAACTTACAAGGACTCCACATACACACATCATGCGAGACGTCGCATAGCACGGTTGCGACGCTATTCCTAGCTTGGCGACTGGGTTAGACGCGCGATGGGGGCATGTTAGCCAGGTACATAGTGGCATAATCGATGGATCATTCGTGACAGGATACAACAGGTCCACTCATTAGCCTTGGGGGCATCTAAAGACCTTCTTCATATGTTTTGAAAGCCACGCTGCGCACTGTTGACATTGAGAGCGGTGACGCTGAAGGACATGGAAGACGATACTGCACATAGATGCGAGGAACATTGGCTTAGCAATGATGCTAGAGATGTGACCACAAATGTTAGAACTCTGCCGCGGCAAGATTTGCGAGTCGAGAGGCAGCGGATGGACTCTGGCAACGAGTTTCTTATGGCAATGACCACGAACTTTTCCCATTATGTGTTACTGCAAATTCTGGTAATATACCAGGAAGGCTCTATATTATAGCTGCCCATGTAATTTGTACACTTCATTTCGATGCCCATCACGTACCATGCCCTTATGGCGGTTGAAGACCAGACACACAATTGACGCATATGGCCCCAGACGCAGCTCGTGTGTATAAGGAATGAGCCGCAGAGATTCTCAATATCCTTTAACTTCCTCTGCACAATATTGGTGACTCTAAGTAGTGCATGCTATGTGTGTGTGTGCGTCCAAGTAACTTTTGGCGAAAAAGAAGAGGAGGGACGCGTCGCAAAACTCCGCCGATGGCGAGACCGCTGATGGAGATGACTGAAGTGATCAAGAGGCCGCGCGGGGCGTTCCATTGCTTGTGGGAGCAGCTTCTTCGTTGCACTTCGCGTTACCGTCGCCGGTCTTGCCCTGCGTGTCGTTGTGGGTGGTCTGGTCCTCGCTCACGCGCGGAGCTAGAGGAGATTGTTTCTCTATGATGCGGTCAGTTCTTTCTCCGCATTGCTCATAGTCATTAGAACCATACTGGCTTCCCTGATTGTCCACTTCAAGATCACAGGTTTTCTACGCGCCATGATGCTCGGAGATCGAGAGGGGAACGCGTCCGGTTACGTCCTGAGGAGATTGTGCGTGCCTGCGAGAGCAAAGGACTTGACTTGAACAAGCCTGCGAGGTGACCTCTTGAGAATGTTGAGAGTGTCAGAGCCGTATAATTTGTGAATTTGTGAGCGTGGGTGGGCCTGTAAGCGACTTGTGGCGGAGGTTTATCGGACACGGATTGAGAGTCCAGGCAAATAATAGGAGCCAGCCTCGCGCACCAGCTTGATAGCAGAATAGGTAAGCTCACAATGCGTGCACCGAGAATAATACCCTCTCGGCATCATGCTTCATGCACCGTGAACGAAGTTACCCAGGTGTATTTGAATGGCCAAAGGATTAACCCATTTCATATTCAGAACAGCGACGACGAGTCGTCCCCAGTCATCTCCAAACGACGACGAAGATTCGGCCATGGTAACGCTGCGTCGAAACAACTTTAGAGTTGCTACCTTTTGCATCGATAAACGGGCTGACAAAAAATGTTATATTCATAGTGACATACGTGATCCGTCGTGATTACTTTGGTGTAGAATCTTGACGCTTTCGAAAGATAGCTGGTGGTGTTGTGACTCTCCATCCAGGTGTATGACTCGTGGTGTCGTTAAGTGTATGGCGTTCCGTATCGGTCTTAGTTCCAATAAGCGGTGAAAGAAAACAGGCGTGCAGCGCCGTCGTGTTACAACCAGAACGTCACAACTCACCCATCGGACTATCCGTCATTCGAATTACCCACGAAAAACACCATTGCTTGGAAGTATCTATCATGATGTAAGTATACGTGGCTGGGAGCGAGATTGTGTGTTTGCTTACGCGATGACCAGGATGAACGAAGGCTTTGCGCTGGATCCCATTAACTGTGCTGATGCTGCAAAGAGCAGACAGAACAACGGCATGATGACAAGCCTTTGCGACTGTTCTCTGACGACAGTGAAGGTAGCAATAGGGGCGACCAGAATCAGTGTGGCTGATACATAAACAAACGCCTCAGCGACGGCTTCTATGGTCCTGTCGTTGATCCTCCGGCTGTCAACGTTGTTGCCCTCATTCACACGCCGTCGTTTGAATGTTGGCAGCTGCAACAAAAGTTTCCTAGGAGGCACAACGATATAGTCGACCAGTGGATTCAGGAGCCATTCGCATATGAAACGCGCCATCGGCGAGAGGTTTTCGTCATCCACCGTGGCCACGTTCGGTGGTACAGAATCACCTTCCTGGCCATACATCGCAGCTAATTCTCCATTTGCCCCGCGCCTACCAGGCTCTTCAACACGACTCTTGATGCGAAACAGATCCATGGAAGCTTTCCTCGGCGGCGTGGACGAACTCATCTGCCGAGAAGCCTGGGCGAAGCGTTCTTGAAATTGTATTAGCTGCCACGGATGCTGATAATATGTGATATACTCACCAAGAAGTAGCAGAGAGCTGACTAGATCCATCATTACCCTTTTATAATCAGCTTCGTGGGCAGCGGATTGCCCAGGCTGTATGTTCTCCTGCCGGTAGCAGTCGACGGCCCTTTTACATCGGTGGACTTCGCTTTGTACGTAGTAAAGAGCTAGCGCAAAGTTTTCGGGGAAGGTCTCGTAGATCGCAGCTTGTGGGTACGTGGCGATCGTCTCGAAGAGCTCGCTGTGGTCGTGTAAGGCCTTGACGCGTTCCTTGACCGAAGGTCCACCACTACCGTGGGAGGAGCTGCCCTGGGCTGACATTGCGATATACTAGAACTGTTTGGAAAAGTGTAAAGTATTTGAAAGAACTCTAAAGGATAGTTACTATCCTCCAGGAGCCTTCGGTGGTATAAGTACGGTTCGCTGACAGCCGACTCGTCTATCAGAGGAGATATGGCACCGCAACGATGACTACCGACCTGTCGCCACCCCTCACTCCTCAAGAGCCTCATGCTGAGCTGTCAGGCAGATATGCGACACCAGAATGCCGCGCCGAAGCGCAGAGTATGCATGAGTTGGCCTTCGAGAGATCGAATCATTGCCCCATGTCTCACCATCCACTACACCGCTTGAGGCCATCTCTGGGACCACAACAATCGGACGCAAGCAATTCCTCACCGGAAATGGGACTGTAAACGTCACGATAGGCTCGACCACGAGCTCAGGGAACGACGCGGTTGCACATGGGTCGACAGCCACATGTATGATCCACGCGCGATCAAGGGCTATAGCAAGCGCTGTATTCCGGCGCCTTGGGAGGCTATGCTGATGCGTTAAAAGAGTCGACCGGGGTCGTGGGATGGTGTGTGGGCATGCATGCTGAGGGAACATCCTCTGGAAGTTGATCGTTACACGCTATGATGGCTGGCTCGACCCGTGCCGGGAGCTCCGTGCGGAATGGTTTACAGTCGTAAGGATATCGTCAAAGATGGGTGTTGATGCTATAGGGAAGCAGCGCTGAAGCTCTTGACTTTAGTGCTCCTGCTAGTTGGCAAGCGAACCTTGGGGCCGAAGACCGCCAAACCTCGACAACCCCGCCGTCGAGAGTCACCATCTACGCTCTCAAATCGGCAATCTAGAACCGCTGTTACTTCGGGAGCGGCTCACAGAGAGTGCGCGAATGAAAGTGAGGCAACAAGCACAGGTCATTCCGGATTGCTGCGCAACAGAGTCCCGAGGTCTTCCAACAGCGACAAAATGGCCCCGGATCGACATTTCATGTATGCCGCTGGCGCGCTTTCGCGGTATCAAATGACTCTGCCTCGCAACAGTATATGCCGTGCGACAATGACGTTCCATGGATCACGATGGGCTGCGTCTATCAAACCAGTACGCTCATAACATTGCCTTCTTACGAGACGGTGTCCGGGGTTCCACGTCAACTGCACCAAAAGCCCTGCGCCTGGCTATTTGCGATGATGTTGCCACCACCACGATGCCAACATTGATGACAAGCGCCCTAGTCTGCAGTGTGGACGGATCCTTCGGCCTTGATAGACAGCGAAGACAACCATTACACAATTAGAAGCCGAATGACATCTTGTACCGGCCCTCCTCGACTGATTATCCATGGCCCTTGGGTCTTCGCGTTGTTCAAGCAGGATTGGTGGTTATGGGAGCCTACACCGCCTCTACGCTGAAGTTTTCAGCCTCGTCGTTGTCATTCCGAGTGCCAATCGAGGCTGGTTGAACACCTCGTTCAGCACTGCAGCCTTCTCCATTGTTACTGTGGCTATGTGCGTGACGTTCGAAATCTTGGTCTCGCAAAAGAGAGCAAGTACGCTCAGACATATCCCATACAGAAGCTGACATCACGCCTGACCTCATGACTTATCCCAGCGAAGAAGAGGTTGTTGGGCTAAATATCTGCAACGGTAGGCCGTGATTGCATGCAGCGTAGCGAGCAGATACATCATAACACAGTGCATCGTGAAGAAAGTTCATAATCTATAGAGACTGTGACATCCACCACGTTGAAGCTGGCTTGTAATAATACCGTCTAATGCTAGACATGAAACAAGTATGTACAATCGCAATAGATCGTCCGTAAGAACAAAAGTCGGATAAGAGCGGATGCGACATCACCGGTGCGACTGTTGGGATCTCATAAGTTCATCATGTCTATCCGAGAGAGCCTCCAAGAACCCAAACCTCGCCATTGGATACCTTGTCGGCGATGCTGGTCACTTCAACGTCAGCAGGTTGAATCTGTAGGCTTGTGTTAGCTAAGAACAAATAGAATTTGGGCCAGGTTAAGTTAGTCGGTGGGTAAATGCCAGCAAAAATCCAAAAATAGTCAAAAATGACCAAAACATAAGCAAAAAAAAGATCCTGGGGTATCTGACTATAGCCAGACGAATGCTGAACAGAGTGGGACTCGAACCCACGCCACTTTCGTGACCAGGATGTCTTGGAGGTAACGAATTACCGTAGACTTAATGTTAAGAAACCTTAACCTGGCGCCATAACCAGCTCGGCCATCTGTCCTCAACAGGTAATTGATAGAAAGTGGACGACGAGATACAAATATATTGTTGACTGTGTGGGCGTGGGACAAATGGTGGGGCAGTGCCAACCAGAGGGCGGGACTACCGACATAGCGGCATGGCTTACCTTCTTTTGGCCGTCTTTGGATTCCCACCAAATCTCATTGCCGGCAAGCGTCTTGACTTTCTTGCCCTCCTCCCATGGGCTCTCCGGTATGATGTGGCGCTGAACAAAGCGCTCAAGATTGCCCCGCGCCCGGTCTTGGCCGCTGGTGCCCTCGTACGCGTCTGCGCCAAAACTGTCGTAGTCGTCGGGGTCTTCCCAGGGCTTCCTCTTCAGGTCGCGCATGATGCTGTTGTTCGGAGCCAGCACTGTGGCATTCTGCGAGGCGTTGTCGAGGCGGCCGGAGACTGCGTCGATGTCACGTGTCAAGCCGCTGAAGATGGCGATGTTCTGCGTCTTGCCGATGACATCGGATATGATGACGCCAGTAGTCGCCTGGCCTTCAGGATTGCTCATGATGTAGTCTCGGAGAGGCGACTGTTCGCTGAGGATGCTGAACGACTGGATGATGCTGTCGAAGGGGCGGGCTTGCGCAGACGTGGCAAGTGTGAGGGCGATGGTTGCGAGAGGGTATGCGACGAAAGAGACGGGCTTCATGATCGTTCCAGATGGTGCATTAGGGTGTCGTTACAGGTTCTGGGTGAACGCGGCGTTGAAGATGGAAGCACAGACGTCATGCCGCGGTGAAGCCAAGACCTCGTGACCACGCGACGGGTCCACGGGTGCCTTCCGAGCTTGGGGACCAACTCTTCTTTTCCTCACATGCCTTCACCAACGTGACACCCCGCGCCCTGGAGCGCGTCCAATCCAGTCGCGCCAAGTGTCAAATACCCGCCATGGAGCTCCAGATACCGACCGTCACTACCGTGAGTGCAGCAATCAAGTATCGCGCCCGTACAGTCGCTAAGTAGCTCAGGATGACCTACGCGCCTTCCATGCGCAACACTTCCCACACGCGCCGCCGCCAGAGCATATACTCCATGGCTTTGAGGCCGAACCAGAAGTAGCCGAAGAATATTACGACGAAGCCGACGATGGGCTGGGCTACTACCCCGACGGCACGAAGCGCACCCTGACCGACGAGCAAATCGCCATGTTTCGACACTCCGAAATCCATGCAATGCTCCGCAAACGGCGAGTGCAAAAGGAAAATGGCGAAATCTCTGACGACAACGCTGTCTCTGCAAGCCCAGCGCCGGCTGTTCCACCCACGCAAGAGAACTCCTCGCGCACGGCTGGTGTCGACAAGGCGCAGCCTGAGGCGTCTACAGAACCGAAGAAGCAACAGTGGGCGACCAGCAGCGCTACAACAAAAGCCAAGGCCAAGAGGAAGCGGGATAGATACGCGAAGAGGAGGAAAGAAAGACGGCTAGAGAGAGGCTTGCCGCGCAGACGGAGCGGCCGCGACGGCGCAGACAGCGGCGATAGTGACGATGGAAGCGACGAATGGGACGCTTGGCACCAGGCCAACGGGCCCGACGTGCAAAAGGACGAGACCCTCGATCTCGACTATTGAACGGACAACAGCGACAACTGATGGTCAATCATTCGTTCGATGCAGCAGACCATCCACCCCAACTGCTGGCTTGGAACAGATATAACACACTCAGCCGGACTCAAGTCGTAAGTACCCTTGTTTTCCTCCACTCCCATATGCAATGATGAAACTCTAGTTATCATCCTTAGGCGTAGCCGGCGACAGGCTTGAGACGAGGGTGAAAGACTGCTTGCGGCCTGATCTCTTGACTCGTCTGGCGCTTTCCAAGACGACTCATAATCTTCTCACTGAGCACCACTTCTCCCCGTAACACATAACATACTATCTGTATCGTTGTACTGATTGTTACTAGGCTTCGTTTGAAATGTTGAGACCACGATATCCACCGGAAAACACGGAAGAGACGCGCAGACAGGCAGCAGCTGTGATTGCGCCGCGACATTGTGGGACAACTCTAGGCACTTCGTTGATATACGGTCACCATACGTGGAAACCATAAGAGTAGGGAAAATTGATTGCATTTCAGCAATCATTTAGGTACACAATTGGGAGAACCGATTCCTCATGGAAGTAGCCGCACTATGAAGATGCATTGAAGCCATAATTACCATGAAACTAAAGTCTTCAGTTCATCTCCCAGGATCTTTCTCAGAATAGCACTGATTTCGAACGCGAACAATCTCAAGATGCAGCAGAAAACTTTTGATGAGTAGTTGAACGGGAGCTCGCCGCCACGCTTTCAAGTGCCCTTCTTCCATATGAAAGTGTTCTGACTGTGTGCGAGCTGGACCGGTATGCCAGTGAATTGTCCGAAGACCATCGAATGAGACAGGCAAACAATCTCAATCGCTATTGGTATTGGGCGTCGCAGGGACGCCGTGTCACCTCCAGCTCTATCGGCATGCTTCCAGGCAGACGACTCCATATCTGGGCGACTTACGGGTTCAGATAATCACTCCATCGCTGATGGGTGTAGTCTACCTTCACTGCGAACGGCATATCTTGGATGCGTGGTTTGAGATGTTCGTACACGGCCTCGGCTTTCTCGCGGGTCCCATCCAGATCTGGGACCGAGAATACCAAAACCCGTACCTCTCGCAACGCGAGGAGCGAGCGAAAATACTTCGAGTGGCGGACTGCAAAGCAGAAGTCCATGATTCCCCCAGTCATGTTGCTCCAGTAGACTGTGAGCTTTAGGGTCGTGATCTGTTTGCACTGGGTTGGCTTGAATTTCTTGAGCGATCTCTTTGCTTCCCGAATACAATCGATGGAGAATGTCCCGAGAGCTAGCGGCATGATTGCGGTTTCCGAGTATATCTGACGGCAGGTCCTCAGAAGAGCCGTGTTGTGTTTTGGCCCTGTCGGTGAAGGGTGGAATCCAAATGACCAACTTGACCGATACAGTTTTCCGCCCAGCACAAGCTTCCAGATTTTGTTGCGAATCTCGGCGGGCATACGAAGCAATGGGGAACTCTCGTTCTGTTTGACGCTGACGGCATGTCAATTGTTGTTCATACAGAAGGATTGGATATACTCACAGTTCCTTCTCACCACCTTTGGGTGTGACGTTGAGTAGGCCATTTCGAAACTTGTGATATCCGCGCGCGGGTCGCTTGATAACCTTGTCTGCGCTCTTCTTGGTGGCAGGTGCCTTCGGGGCTTTGTCGCCGGCGGCAGTCTTGCGGGGCGCCATTGCTGGTGTACTTTGTCGAGATTGCTGAGATTGTTCGAGTAATGCGCGGTGTTCTGGGTTGGGGTACAATCAAGAAATGATTGACCTTTGAGGTAAAAGCTAGGAAAGACCTGGCAGTCGAGGACCACCGCGAAGGAAACCGCGTAAGACTAGCGTGTGACCGTGCGTTGAGCAAACAGGCAAGCACGTGGCAGTGATTAGAGACTGGTGAGGGAGGAACGATGGTGATGGTGATACGAATCGCTGAGTATGGGTTGCTACCTAAGCCACGCCGTATTATCGCTCACCTTACACGACATGTATGAGCGAGCGTCGGTACCGTTGGAGATGAGGATGGTCAGTTGACTTTACCCTCTACTTCGTGCTACTACTTGACATTATATCTGGTCTCGCCTACCTTCGCCTCCTACATCCTGCTCGGATCAGGTATTTCATCTCTTCTGACTTACCCTGTGAGCCCGGACTGCGCCTTTACCTGACAGCTAGGGTCCAGTAGTCCTATAAGTAGAAATCTACTCTACTCTTTTCCTTACACACATGCTCTACACCTCCCAAATCATCGACAACCTCATTATGGCATCCCGAAAGCCTAAGCAGACTGCGACAGTCGCCAAGAGCATGAAGGCTTCCACTGGTGGAAGAGTAGCCAAGCGCAGTCACAAGAAGCTTCGCTTTCATGCAAACGGCCTGCTTAATGTCGAGCAAAAGACAGGGAAGTACCTCAAGATGTCAGTATTTCCATCGACTTGGGTTCAAGTGGTTCACTGATTTGAACACAGCGCGAGACAGAACCAGCGGAACTCCCCATTACTGCGGTTGCCAGCGGAGATCCGCAACTTGATCTTCGGATATGCACTTGGTGGTAGGACATTCCACATCAGCCACAACATCTATCAAGATGTCACAAAGAACACAAATGTCTCAAAGAACACAAGTGTCTCAAAGAACGCCCTCGCTCTACTCGCTGTCTGCCGACAGGTCTTTGCTGAAACCGCTTTGCTACCCTTCAGCTCGAACACCTTCTCAGCTATACATCCCCAAGTGTTCAATATGTGGATCGAAGACTTTCCCTCGGTCTTCGCTGAAGCTGTCACTTCGGTACGCCTTCATCCCTGCGTAGTGTTATCTCTTTCGGATCAATGGCTGGACCTTCATGACGGCATACCAGATAGGCAGGATCTTAGGCTCGGCCACAGAGACAAGCGACTGTCTTCGAACTTGACCTCTCTCAAGAACGTACAGCTTGTTGTGGGCATGGTGATAAGAGGCTCCAAGCAAGATAGCAACAAGCCGCAAGAACGCGGTTGGCAGTTCATAAAAGGTCTGTATGAGGCAGAGAACAGCAAGGTCGAATTCACCAGAGGTTGGAGACTGCCCATGTTTTACTAGGGCTTGAGACAGTTGCTTCTCTTCTTCTCCTTTGACAAAAGCACTCTGGAATTGGTCTAATGCAATTGCGAACGTGCGAGTACCTAGGTAGGCTACTACATCTTACCTGGGAAAGTCTATTCAATTGTGTTTTACTTCACTATCACTATTCCTATATCGTGCCACAGTGGGCGATCTTTCACTTTAAGTAGCCCTTTGCTATGATACAAAAATTCATTTTCGGCTTGTGCAACTACTCTCAACCACTCCACTGACGCATCCATTCGACTTCCAACTCAACATGTCGGCCGCTCAAACTACTCCTCAGATAAACACACCTGAGGACAAGCCTCGCCGAGGAAAGCGCGGTTACCGAAAATCCCGAGACGGCCTACTCAATGTCGAACCCATGGGTAGTCAGATTGCTATGTAAGCTGAGCACTATCACATCTAAACTCGTAATACTAATGCCAGTGTAGTGTACAGCGAAACGCCGAAGAATCGCCCCTCTTACAACTTCCTGCCGAAATTCGCGCCATGATCTGGAAGCTCGCTATTGGAAACCCTATCATCCGCCCAGCATGGGGTGGACCTATCAAGCCACTCAGATATAGATCCGTGTTTGAGGAGCGAGCGTCTGAATTCCCCGCACCGAGGCACCGCTTCGCCCTCCTTCGTGTCTGCCGCCAGATCTACTCGGAAGCTGCTGCGTACTCTCGCCATATCAGCGTCTTTCGCTTCTACGACTTTGGCAGTTTGACATATTGGCTCAACCACGCGACAAGTGCTCAGCGAAAGGCTGTACATAAGATACAATTTGGTCGCTATGAGTATATACTCAGAAAGTGGATGTCGAGACACTTTGCGGGGGAATTGAAGAAACTGCCGGCGTTGACCCAAGTTCAGATATCATACTATGGGTACAATGCTGAAGCAACTAAGGAATTACTAGATGGGTTGGACAAGATGAAGAGGAAACTCGGTAAGACCATGAACGTGAAGCTGGAATACCAAGCTCGGCAAGGTAGTCATGATTGGGTTTATACTTTCTTGGATGGGGGGGACTTCAACGTGTAATGAATTGGTAAGATCTGTCTATAATGACCCATGATCGTTTGCTCGTGCGATGGTAATGTGCTAGGCTGGGGCGAAGATAGCGGTCGTAGTAAGAAGCGGGACAAGTAACATATGAACTGCGTACAGAGGCGTCTTGGAAGCTCGCTTTGTGATTGGTATGAGAGATAAGCCCTCCAGGCTGGGCTGAGACGTATTGAAGGGTGGTGGTCATGGCACCGCAGGCCGCTACGTTCAGCGGAAGATCCAAAACCATTGTCCTATCGCTGTAGCTCAATGCGTATGCGCCGAACATGCGTACAATGAAGATGAGCCAAATTCCTCGACCAACCGGCATCAAGAACTCCCGTCTCGCCTGTTAAACAGTGCATTTAAACCAAGGCTAGCTTCCGTGTCCTGCCTGCGAGGTCGTTCGAATGTCGGGCTCGTTTCTGTCGCAGTGGTGTGTGGATTATTGCGCTGGTTGTTTGAGATGTCCAGGGAAGGCAGTCGTGGTGGGCTGTGCGATGTGCTATCTCCAGACGTGCTGTGCGCTATCAGAGACGCCTGCAAGGAAGTTATCTTAGTCTTGCGTGATTTAATCTCTTTCCATACAAATCGAGCCTGGTAAATTTGACGTCTCAAAACGATGGCCAGTTTTGATAGTGCCCATATTGGAACGATGGCTAGCAACATGTACAGCTGTACAACATCCAAACTTCCCACGATAATCATCAGTACTGTAGATAGTGCACACATAATCAGGGATCGGATCGCGACTGTCTTTTCCCCACTAGAGGGAGACGGATTCGCAACGTGACCAGACCGGCTCATGCCATCAGCTCGCACGCGGATGGATGGCTCCATCAACGGTTCGGACGTGGTAAGGTTCGGAGATAGAGCATCTGCGATATCGATCTGATACAAAGGTTCCTGCGTTGATAAGGAAAGGGAACTGTCCAACACAGTTTGCTCTTCGTTGAATCAGTAGATGCATGATGAGAGTAGAGACGAGGCTTACCATTTACGATTTCAATTAGAGCAAGTAATGGAAGAACGAGCAGACCGATCGCAACGACTTGACCAAATCCAAGCATTCCTGCATCGCTCGATGGGTAGACGTCGGCTAGTAATACCGCAGAAATCGTGTTGGTCGTTCCGTAAACGAATTGGAAAGCCCACACGGGGATCTCAGAGAGATAGGCTTCATGATATTGCTCAAGGAAGTACCAAACAGATATCTTGGCAGTGTCATTCGATGGCTCGATTCTCGTATCATAGTCAAGACGGGCATCCGCGATGATAGTTGCCGACTCCGTTTCGGAGAGGAGTTGCGACCGGCTCCAGAGGTATATGGATATGCGATCCATAAGAGGAGCAGTGACATGACGTTGTTGAGTGACTTCCGGAGCAGCTAGTCGAGCTATGGCTGAGATATGTTTTCCCCATAAGATTATCAGTACAGGGAAAATCATGAGTACGAACTGGATTTCACCCAAGAGCTCGGGTTTCGACATCCACTGCTCCAACGCGCATTGGATAATTCTTTCGTTGGCGCCATATCCGCCAAACCAAATATTGTCCAAGAGAAACGCGAACGTGAATAAACTCAGAAACACAAGCGTGAATACTACGCGACAGTACCTGACCCATCTGTGCTGGGCTAGGTGGTTTCGCAGTACATCGAGTGACAGGCTGTGCGTCGTAGCTGAAAAGTAAGCCAGCGACGTGACTATATGCCATTCATTCTGGGACATAACACATCGACCTAAGAGAGCAGCAATTAGTATTGAAATTCCTGTTATAAGCTGCTGATCGCTGAGCATCTTGATGAATTTGGCAAGAACATGGCTACGACTTCGTTGTTTGGGCGTCTGTGTGAACATGAGGATTTTGGTGCTTTCGTTGCGCCTTTTTCGCCTGAACAGGCCCTCCAGTATTGCGATTGCATGCTTGTCGGTTGACTGTAGTAGACCAGAAGGCAAGGTCGAGGTTAGGTACCCCCGGATCACTACCACGAAAACAGCCAAAGCGCTGAAGTAGAATGATACGAGGATCTACTCTTGCATCAGCATAACGAAATATTCTAAGGTTTACTACTTACCCCAATGCCTGCAATGTCTGGATTGACTTTTGGTTGTGTTGGGCATCCTTCTCCCGAGTCTGCACGCCAGCTCCAGAATCCACGGCACGCAGTACAGTCGAGGGAACTACCGCAGTTGCCCATGATGGCAGGACTGAATCGAATTAATGGAGGCAGTGCCGCACCACTACGCAGGGTTTATAGCGATGTTGAAACCGGTAACGTGTATCTGATGGTGATGACCGACAGGCTGAGAGATAGTGAGCATGTAGAACCGAAGGATCTTGGAAGCTGCTGTGGCATGAGACTATCGTCTAAACGCAGATAGATGAATAAGTTGGGTCTATGTTGTGAAGTCTCTCTCGTCGTGTCGGATGAAGCTGTATCGCAAACAACAAGTTCTCGCCACCTCATCTTTTCAGCTGCCTGTTCAAGTAGGCGCGACATGAACACCGCCCAGACCGCCACAAATCTTTGATTGGGTGACTTCTAGCCCCCAAATCTGCCCAGGTATGACTGCATCGCAGAGGAGATAGGAGAGGTTCAAGATTGGGCGGGAGTTGCTGGGCTGTGTACTTCTGCTCGTTTTCCGCGCACCACCACAGCTGGGCAAGGCGCTGCGCTGCATGTTTATTGTAGCCATGACGAATGCGCAGCGCAGGAAGGCCGAGCAGGGCTACGAGCGTCTTGTGATCTATTGAGGAGTTTAGTAACGGATAATACAGCATGCGATGTGGTAGAGCTCGTGTAAACCTTTCAATGTTGTAATCACAGGATTTGGGAGTTGTAGAGCGAGGAAAGTGCCAGGACATCCAGCTGCTTCCTCTTGACTGAGTCATGTATGGGGCCCGCGCCAACTGCGCTTGTGTTACGCGAGTCATTGTACACCACCAACGCTTTTGGAACTCATCCAGTCACTTTCTATATACTCTACTACATCACTGGCATTCGAGATAGAACATCATTGTTATTCATTCGTCTTTCATTCATACAACTGGTGCAACCCAGTCACGTTGGGGTATATACAACTCTCTACTCCTTGCTCAAATCCGCAATCTGCAACACCGCCTTACCGAAGTTCTTTCCCTCAAGCATACCAATAAAGCCCTCAACCGCATTATCAATGCCCTCGGTAACACTAATCTTCGCCTTGAAAGTGCCCTCAGACAACCACTTCTGCAGCTTCTCCTGGTGCTCCTTCGCATGCTTAGGACCCATGTTCTCGTCGCCAACAATGAAACCGCGGATAGTAAGGCGCTTCGCAACAACGTTCATGAGGTTGCGGATGGGGTACTGCTCGCCGGGCTTAGCGTTGTACTGGGAGATCATGCCGCAGGCGACGATGCGACCGAAGTTGTTCATGGCGTTGATGGCGGCTTCGAGTTGCTCGCCGCCGACGTTCTCGTAGTAGATGTCGATACCGTTGGGGGCGAGGCGGGCGAGGGCATCCGCGGGCTTCTCGGTCTTGTAGTTGAAGCCGGAGTCGAAGTTGAGCTCCTTGGTGATGAAGTCGAGCTTCTTGTCGTCGCCGACGGAGCCGATGACGGTGAGGCCCTCGTGCTTGGCGAGTTGACCGACGAGCTGGCCGACGGCTCCTGAGGCGGCGGAAATGAAGATGGTCTCGCCCTTCTTGGGTTGGCCGATCTCGTAGAAGGAGGACCAGGCGGTTAGGCCGGGCATGCCGAGGGGACCGAGGAAGTACTTGGGGTCGAGGTTGTAGGGGTTCTTGAGTTCGATGCAGTTGGCGACGGCATCCTTGTCGAGAACGGAGTACTCCTCAATGGGGCTGATGCCCATGGTGATGAGAGTTTGGCCCTCCTTGAACTTGTCGCTGTTCGACTTGACGACCTTGAAGATGGAGCGGTTGGTGATGGGCTTGCCGAGC